CTGAGTATGAATAATGATTATATTATAAGACATGCCAAACAAGTCAATTGGTAGATCTAGTGTTAAAAAACAGATGTAGTAGCCGGTAATGGATTGGACTGATTTTATTTGGAAGGCCCCCGCAGAGGGACTGTCTAAGCACATAGTGAATTATATTTTAGAGGGTTGTATACATACAGGGTGTTCCAGAAAAAGTGTTAGAAGAGGGTTGAATCTGAACCAAAATTTCTTTTGGCAAAATACAAAGTGAGACTCAGATTTTGAATTATTAACGAAAAACACTGACCTGAGTTTCATATGAAAAGGCTGGGGGGACTAATGTGAATTCTTACCAAATTTTCTAAGACATTTGATAAAAGTAATTATTACATCAGTACATTCTTCCTTATGTCACATTATTTATATAATTGCGTCAAGGGAATGAAATATTATTCCATAATATAAAGCGTGTTGCCATATGGGTAGAAGAGGAGACTCTCTGCATAGAGAATGATTGTTAGCTGTGCATGTAATTCTTTGTTCGTGATCGTGACGTGACTTTCACGCGAGGCGAGTATCGATATGCCACGAGCGAACGATGCAGCCGCATCGTGTATCCACCTAACTTCCGCATATTTCTCCATTGTTGATCTTCGCTGACGCCACGTTATTCGATTATGGCCGACGCGTGTTCGCGTACGCGTCCCTCTTATTAACGATAAAACAACGCGTAAACAATTGGCATAATCGTTTCCAATTGCAATCTTGCGAGAACTTGTGAGTCACTTTAGCGTAGTAATAAAATCAATCAATGTGAAATCTTCAATCAAATCATGAACTGGCTTCTTTATAATGAAAAATACGCTGTCTCACTTCATGTCTACTTATAGTGAAACGTACATTTTTTATCATCGATCAATCTGTAAACTGTTTTGGGTGAAAATAAAACAGCGAACAAATGCATACCGGAAATTAAATCCAACGAGCTAACCGGAAGCGAGAAAAGTAATTGTAGCATTCGTTGAATTCGTTCTGCAGTATATGCCCTGCAAACAAGGTTGCAGTCACGATCGTTGCAGCCGGACGAACAGTTACGGATTCGCGAAATGGAAACCGTGTCGAGACGCATTATTTAACGTCGTCGATAACGATAACGTTTGCCTAGCGTGAATTAGCTGTACAACGTGGGTCAAGTACATAACGTAGAAGTTATTAAACCTCGCTCGTAACACTTACGGCAGTTGAGCTCACAGGATTACGTATGCCGAAACAACCTTGCCTTTACCTTTTTTGACCTCGGCGGATCGATCTTAAACCGTGAACTTTTCCGACCACGCGAGTCACACCTCCGTGGTATTTCAATCCCAAGCCGATTATTATTAACCCTTAACAAGCTTACGTTTTCAACTTGGCGAAATGCATAGATAAAGTTAAATAAATCCCTCGTAGAATTTCATACTCGAAATACTTGGAATCGCGATGTTCAGATATCGCTAATGCCTATATTCATTTATACATGTTCGAAGTGAAATCTGCATATGTTACGAGGACTTTGAGGAGATAAGCGGTTAGGAACGATCCAATAAAAAGAATAGGTACGAGGCATATAAAAATGTCTGATACGCGTACGCCGCAATCTGATATGTTAATCCGAATGAATATGAGATATTGTTGAATTTCTACGGTTGAACGCGTTCCCCTGCTAAGAGCAATTGAGAACATTCAATTTATGCAGATTCCTTGAATTTTTATGCCGCTAAATTATCCACCTCTCTTCCCTACGATTGCAATCAAATTTAAGACAACGTACGAACAACTATAAAAATTTATGATTCGAAACTTGCATTCCACCTGACAGACACCTAATCCTCTTAGTACAAATACTATTTCCAGTTCTCTTTTGAATAATAATAAATATTCTTTAAGATCCTGTAATACTGAATATTTCTTTTAAAAAAGAAGTACGAAACTTCGCGAAGCCAGAACATTTTTCTCTTTTAAGACCGAGGACATAATCGTTTTAATACACTGAATGTTGAAAGTGATCGCCTACCCGGTTTCCCGTAAGCTCTCGAAATTCCCCAGGGAACAAACTCCTTTAAAACGTGGCCGCCTTTCGCGCATAAAAAGGTATTTCCTTATCGTTTCCGCGAGATCGCGAGACGGGGGCGAAATTGTTACGCAAAACGATCGTATCTCGTCGCGTCGCACGGCAGCCCCTAAAATAGTTCCAACTCTCGCCTCCCGGACAGCTGCCGATTTGCATACTTATCCGCGACGATAATATTTACCTGTCTAATTCGCTTTTTCTCGATTTTCCACTTCGTCACTGGTATTTCTTATCAAAATAGCAAGTTTCGCAACATACATCATCTATTTTCTGTACATTTTGCATTCAAAATTATTAAAATTAACATTTTATCGTATGAAAAGACTGATGAATATAATTTCTTTTTAACACTACATTGCCGGAGCGAGTCAATTTGACTCATTTAAATTAAATGGAATAAATGACGAGTCAAACTCGTCATTGTATGTCAAGGGGTTAATTCTTTCCCCTACCCATTCCTTAGTTACAAAAATCCATATGTGCCACACCTATTTCGACGGATGTGAGTCAAATTGACTAATTTCAGGCAAAATAGGTACATGCATATGGGTAAGAACCAACAGGTGCTGCATTTATGAAATGACATAACATTCGAATCCTATTGCTCTATTATTTAGCAGATAGTTTGATATTGAGACTTTACTTCTCAGCACTTTTTGATATCGGAAAAATGTATGTATGTTATCCGGATTAACTCACCGACGAACACCGCAGTGCTGTTGTGCCGTGGATCGTACGGGCATAGTCCCAGGCCGTCCATATCGCTCTCCTTCGCGTACGCGCCATCCTGGAACACGAACAGGTATCAACGTCAGTAATCGCGTGAGAAACTCGCACCTTTTCGTTGAACGGTGGTCAACAATCGTACATCGCGGCTGTTTAGCAGCGTTGCATGCGACCAAGCGAACTTGGCCCGCCGTTTTTAACGGTCTGATCGCTTCATTAGCCTCGCCCTTTCAACATCCGATGAATAACCGTTGCCTGATAGACAACGGTTATTGTTCGAAAATCTTTTTCTACGAAAGTTCTTCACGAAAGCAATTGGAGCAACTCATTCTGTGTCCGAGTAAAGAATGAGAAAAAATACACGGAGTCACGCAATCGGAAGGAATAGCGTTTCCTGTGTGCGCAACGAACGGCTTATCTTTCACCGACCTTATTTTCCCGCCCCGGTGCAACGATGCGTTCGCGGTGCTTCCCTTTTTAACGAAACCGGTGCACTTCGCGTGTAAACCAGTCCGTGAATTGTCAGTACGATGAATATTTCATGAAGCGCTTCGAAATTGTTAATGTCTTCCAGAGGTTTCGTTATTAATTATTAGCAGAGAATGTAAATTCTGGTTTAACGCAAATGGTATCTAAATCAAATGATTAATTAGAGAAGACTAATACTAGTTTTAAGGCAATTTTATATTCTTATCTGTGCTATACTTTAATTATAATATTCCTGATTTCTATTCTCAATATTTTATATACAACGTGAGCAATTATTCTGTTTTATTTCGACTTTGAGAAACAGTGGCTGATTGAAAGTGTGTCATTTAAAACCGATTGAATCGATACACCGGCTAACTATTAACCGAAGCCACGTGAGAGGTACACAGAAACTTGCACGAAGTTAACCCTGGCCCAAGACGATTTACCCGACTCCTCAAGGGAAATATCTTTGGCTTGGAATTTCCTCGAGAAAAGTCTCTCTGTCTCGCCTCTTAATAAAAAAATATCCAAGAAAAAGAAGACTGCATGTTGCAAACTCAATTCAACTCGCATTTTGCTGTAACGTCATCGAATGTTGCTTTTTCTTTTTAGAAATAATCAAACTGTGGATTATATAATACGTTAAACAAGAAAATTATCTATATAAAATAATAAAGTTTTGTTCTAGCCATATTGATCCAAGGATAGGACTTGGATTACACTTTTAGAAATTTAATCATTCGCTCCTCCATACCCTAGAAACTTGTCTTATTTATATTATATTATAATTAAATTAAACTAACCCATGCAACTTCCGTAATATTAACTAACATAACTATACATAAAATGAATATAAAACAAAGATATTATTTATATGATTTATATGAAGCATTTTATTTTCCTCGATTCTCAATTGTCTTGTGTAATTTTGTATCTTATTACTTTTCAACATGTATTATCATAAATGCATAAGTAATCTGAAGTCTGATAATTATAATAAAAGAAAGGTCCTCGTAAACTCTCGTGGAAGAGTATTGGTTGCGAGAATCTCCGAGGAAAAACGTCGCAGAATAAATAGAGGAACTGTTTATAATCAGAGATTAACTCCGTTTACAACTTATCCCTCACCCATTTTTAATTAAACGTAATAACATCGCGCCAATTACAACTTCTCCTCTCGTTCCTTCGACCTGTGCAATTTATTCTGTAACTGTGCTTCCGTAGCGTCGCCTTGCGAGGAGATTATCTCGTTATACCCTCTGTAGAATATAAAAGCCCGCGCTCGTAATGGAGATGGAAATTTCAATAAAAATTGGAAATGGAAAAGAAGCAGAATTCCATTTCTCAAGGTATTCGTTCGATAGTTCGTAGGCATGATGAAAAATTGCAAAACGTCATTAAAAAAAATAAGTGGCCGATAACTATTGCGAAACATTTGATATTCGAGATGTCTATCCTGTATTGAAATAGTAATAAGCAATATTATTATTTTGAATAATTTGCGTGCTGCCTCCTTTATGAGAACAACACACGTGATCGGCTAGCGAATTCCAAACATCTGCTCCAATTCTAGATACATTCAAAATTTATGTATTGGACTATGCATTTATTAAGGGATTTATAAAATCGAATATTTATAACGTAATATACTCTTGATTAGAAAAGTATTTTACAACGATGATTAAAAAGAACTTTTTATCACAATCGTTTTAAACTTTTGCGTACCGTTATTTATTTCATGCAAATTATTGTAACGTAATATTGCGAGCGAGAGCCGATTGTAGCTCAAGGGACTTCTGGTAATAGAGATCAAATGAATATGCAGAAGCTTGTCAAATCCGAAATTGCTGTTCTCGAAAACATACATCATGTATGTAGGAAAAAAAGAGATTTTTTTGTTCCACGTTGATTTCTCGCTTTTCCCTTGGGGAATCAGTTTCATATTCCCTATTTCAAATGCTATTCTAAAAAGTCCTGCAGTTTCGAAATTGGTGTCAGCATTTCTAAAAACTGCACATTTTGATTGACATCAGCTATTTGCTTTGTAATATTTTTCAATCGATATCCGTACGATTTTTAATTACGATTTTCCATCGATGTTCGAAAACAAGAGAGTATACATAGTATAGCCATTTGTTAATACTTTGATGTTTCGAATTTCAATTACACACTGACATCGAGCGGCTGTTTATTAACTTATGATCGATATGGTTTAATTACATTAATCCGGATCTAACGCTATTAACGTTCGCGCAACTGTTTATTCAATTAATTATATAATTTGCTATAATTCCCGTAATTTATTATTATTATCCATTTAACCATCAAGCAATGTTTGCTATTCGCATGTGGAGGCACAACAAGTGGTTTGACTGATATTTGCCATTTAATAGCTCAACTATTTAGCGCGAAAAATGTGGTCAAACATCAAATGATATAGAGAATTGCTTCAATAAATAATGTCAATAAAACAAATTTTCAATGATCACAAACATGAATTTATAAAAGTTCTTGTTAATGTTTTGCTTGCATTTCTTGTTTATTATTTAGGAGATCTCTGGAGATTATTTAACACTCTTTACGTCATCAATTTGTTGACTAACTCTCTCATGAGCTATAGTGATCTTTTGTTCAATTCTATTTGTAAATTCAATTTTGTTCAATGATCAAAAATTTGTAAAATCAATTTTGTTCAATGATCTATTGTTTAATCATGTGCAATTTTAATATGATTACGCTTGAGGAAAGAAAAATGATCTTGTTAATGTTTTGCTTGCATTTCTTGTTTATTATTTAGGAGATCTCTGGAGAGTATTTAACACTGTTTACGTCATCAATTTGTTAACTAACTCTCTCATGAGCTATAGTGATCATGACTATTGTTTAATCATGTGCAATTTTAATATGATTACGCTTGAGGAAAGAAAAATGATATCAGAAATTGTTTTCTTGCAAAATTTATGAAATTGTAATGTCGATTCTCCTCCCCCATTGGCACAAATTAAACTCAATGTCTTAGACCTTCTCAAGTTTTCTCTATTGAGAGATTCAAATTCAGATTTCGACACTTAAGGATAATGACTAGATTAGCCTCGATGGCGAATAAACTAAGTCATTTATTTGACATACTCAATGACCCAGTCATGTAATTAGACGGAAATTATATTCTTACTTTCTCGTCTCGCACTACCATTAAACTTTTGCTCTCCCTTTCCTTTATATAATTAACTTTGTGTGATCAATTACTTAAACTATACTGATCGTTCAGATTTAAATTTCTATGCATATAAAAAAGCGTTCTTGTTAATATATGCAATAATAATAAATAAATAAATAAACAAATTATAGCCAGTTTTAGAGCTACAGTATTAATAAGATAAGATAAGATCGAGACTTGTTCATTTGATTATCGCAATTAAAACTGGCTTATACTCTCACAAATTCCTTTTTCATGACAGGATGTAGGTCAGGCGAGTATTGTGTACAGAAAACAGTGCATTAAAGATCGGGCTCATCGGCCCGATTCCGAATTCCCGACCTGTGCCAATACAAGACACACAAAACGTATATGTATACATATATGTATCGCGAAGAAACGAAGAAACTCGGAAAAATCGGTGTACATCCGCGTGTGCAGCTACTTGGCCGCACACAATGTATCTATCGATTGTGCGCACGCGAAGAAGCGTTGTCGAGATTGGCTCGTTTCGCCAGCCACTTTATTCCCATCCCCAGTTTCGACCTTTTTCGTATTTGTATTTCCGGTGACGTGGTACCCTGTGCCGGGGAACCGACAGGTTTTCAGAGAAAATCCACACGTTCCGGCAATAATTCGTAGCTTTTGTTAGGGCCAGGTTGGATAGTTCCAGTGAAAGTCGAACGAGGTATTTATCTAGCGCAGGTCTGATTATTTCTACCAACACATACACAGATAGACACTAATTTTCAGTAGCGAAACGCTCGTGCAATTATAAGAAACTAGATAAGATATCGATTTCCTTTATTTATCTTGTAAAATGGCAGAGCTTAATTTTGCAATTTGGACGACTCATAAAATTGATAAATAATAATAATAAAAATGGAGAGTACTAAATTATGGCATTTGTATAATACCTGATATTTACGATTAATTGGGAACGTATATGAAAATGCTTGAACTTGCAAGATAATTAAAATGCGTAACGTGTGAAGTAATAAACGCGAGGGAACAAGAACGCGCGTATCTATGTGCACATCTATAAGGAAAGACAATCCCAGAGAGAAGAGTGCTAGAGGTATGCATGAGAAAATTGGAGTAGCATCGTTATTCCTTTCATCCCGACACTCTTCAAACTATTGTAAAAATGCTCGCGGAACGAGACAATTGTTTTTCCGTTCTATAGTGAATTTGTACAGATACTCGAATGTACACGTACACAATTAATTTAATAATCATTGTAACGTAATAAATGTATACCTATTTTTAAGGAAAAGGAGATTTATATAAATGTGTAAATTGTGTAAATTTATATAAATTTTAAGAAATGTTTTCCTGTTATAGCAATTTTATTTATTATCATGAGTTATCGTTAGAAAGAAGGATTATCCTTG